GGCTCAAGACGGAGCTGATGGACCTGCGGGCGGACGGCTTCGTCATCAGGAACCAGCACGGGGAGGTGGTGTTCCGGCTGGCGTTCCGCTCGGGGAGCCTGGACCTGGAGTCGTGCTCCAAGGAGGGCGAGATCCTGAGCTGCACGCGGTCGGACCGGGGGCCGCTCAACTTCTTCATCCAGACGGTGAAGCCCAAGGACACGGTGATGTGCTACCGCGTGCGCTGGGAGGAGCTGGCGGCCGGCCCGGCTGTGGAGCACACCATGTTCTGGGAGGACGCCCACTGGTACGGGGGCTCGGAGATGAGCACCCAGCACTGGCCCATCCGCCTGGCGGGCTACCAGGAGCCCGTGCCCTACGTCACCAGCGACGTCTACTCTTTCCGCGACAGCTTCGGGGGCATCCTGGAGCGCTACTGGCTCTCCTCCAAGGCGGCGGCCATCAAGATCAACGACTCGGTGCCCTTCCACCTGGGCTTCAACGCCACCGAGCGCTCCCTCTTCTTCCAGGCCCGCTACAAGGACTCTCCCTACAAGCCCCCGCCGGGGCAGCAGCCCTTCCCCGAGCTGAGCTACCGGGTGTGCGTAGGCTCCGACGTCACCTCCATCCACAAGTACATGGTGCGCAGGTACTTCAACAAGCCCTCCAAGATCCCTGCTGAGAACGCCTTCCGATACCCCATCTGGTCCACGTGGGCCCTCTACAAGAATGATATTGATCAGGATAAACTCTTGCGATTTGCAGAAAAGATTAAGAAATACCATTTCAATTGCAGCCACATTGAAATTGATGACATGTACACACAGGCCTATGGGGACTTTGACTTTGACCCTGTCAAGTTCCCCAACGTAACTGAGATGTTTGCAAAACTGAGGGAAGATGGGTTTAAGGTCACTCTGTGGATTCATCCCTTCATACATGTGGATTCTTCAAATTTTGGTGTGGGGATTGAGCGTCAGCTCTTCATCAAGGAGCCATCGGGGCGGCTGCCAGCCATGGTGGAATGGTGGAATGGCATTGGGGCCATCCTGGACTTTACCAACCCAGCAGCCCGGGACTGGTTCCAGAGTCACCTGCGCCAGCTGCGTCACAAGTACGGCATCTCCTCCTTCAAATTTGATGCAGGTGAGACCAGCTACCTGCCCAAACAGTTCAGCACCTTCCGGCCTCTCTCCGACCCCAGCATCTGGTCCCGGCGCTACACCGAGATGGCCATCCCCTTCTACGAGCTGGCTGAGGTACGGGTGGGCTACCAGTCGCAGAACATCTCCTGCTTCTTCCGCATCATTGACCGCGACTCTGTGTGGGGCTATGAGCTTGGCCTCAAGTCTCTCATCCCTACAGTGCTCACCATCAGCATGCTGGGCTACCCCTTTATTTCTGCTGACATGATTGGAGGAAACTTCCTCCCCAACAAGACGGATGGAGCAGTTGAGATCCCGGACCGGGAGCTGTACATCCGATGGCTGGAGCTGTCGGCCTTCATGCCCTCCATGCAGTTCTCCATCCCACCGTGGCTCTACGACAAGGAGGTGGTGGAGATCGCGCAGAAGTTCACGGAGCTGCACGAGTCGCTGGTGGCCCCGCTGCTGCTGGAGCTGGCCGGGGAGGTGACCGACACGGGAGACCCCATCATCCGGCCCATCTGGTGGATCTCGCCCCGCGACGAGGCCACGCACCGCATCGACTCGCAGTTCCTCATTGGGGACACCCTCATGGTGGCTCCTGTGCTGGAGATGGGCAAGCAGGAGCGTGACGTCTACCTGCCGGCGGGCAAATGGCGCAGCTACAAGGGGGAACTCTTTGAGAAGACGCCAGTGCTGCTCACGGACTATCCTGTCGACCTGGACGAGGTCGCCTACTTCCTCTGGGTTTCCTAACC